ATTTTTGTCCAGTCTCTTCCCGAATCTCCCACACCCCGGTTCCCCCTCCCAAGAATAGTCAGTCCATTCCCTTTCTTTTTTTTTTTTTGTACACATTTAGTTTTATTGTAACAAAGCAACTTGTACACTTTTAACGTTTAAAACTGAGCATTATCTTTCCTTTCCAGTGAAACAAAAAGAAAATTTAAAAATAAACAGAACAAAATTACAATAGAGAAATGTCAATTCCAAATAAGATCCTACAGGTTCTGCTGATTCTCCCATCGAGTGGCAGGGCTCAAGTCATCATTAGGAGAAGAATTTTATTTTAAAAGTGTCATCTTAGACTGCAAGGATGTCCGTTAAACATCACAATTAAACATGCCAAAGGAGAAGCCATGTTGTCAAAATGCCCACTTAACCCACCCAAACATCTCAAACCCACCCTTTGTTGACCTTCTATAACCCCCCTTTTTTAAAAATTTTTTTTCTTTTTTTAAACAAGAGAAAGTAGACAGATACATGTTGGTAAATGCTAACTGTCCATATTCACATAGAGACACAGTGTAATCTCTGAGCCCAATATACAGAGAAAGGAGGAAAAAAGCTAGAATTCTATGCACTACTACACAGGGGCCTAGCCACCTCCAGCTCCCAGCAGAGCTAAGGGAGCAGAAGGTTTTTCTTTTTTCCCACAGAGCACGGTGGTGTTGATTCCATTAAGTTTTTCTTGAGACAGGAAGGGATAAAAATGAATTTGGAACAGAAAGGGGCAAAGATTCTTTTCCCACTGTATTCTGCTCAAGGTACATCCCCCCCAAATAAGGTGAGAACCATGGTGTAAAGGAGAGAAGAGAGACCTCAAAAACAGGGCGACTGAGCACAAGAGGGGGAGAAAAAAGAAAAAGAAAAAAGACTGCAACTTGCTCCCAGGGACTGGAGAAAATTAAAAAAGGTTGGAATCCATCAGTGTTCATTAGTCATCTTCTCCTTCATCTTCCTCTCCTTCTTCCCCCTCATCATCATCTTCATCTTCTTCACCTTCATCCTCATCCCCTTCTTCATCAATATCTTCCAACCCTTCCTCTTCTTCATCATCATCATCATCTTCTCCTTCCCCTTCTTCATCATCCATGTCAGGAACCAAGTAGTACTGTAATGGATTTGGCCAAATGTCATCTTTGATGACTTCTCCCAACTCATCTGCACCTGCATCAGAATGGTCAGTGAACCAGGTAAAGAAGCTTTCTGGTTCCTCATGCTGTCTCTTCCTGCTGGCTTTATTCTGTGTTTGACTTGAACGTTTCGTCAAATCCTTTCCAGATTTCCATTTGATTTCAGTGGACTTTGAAGATGGATCACCACTCTCATTCAGATGAAACTCTTTGGAGAGAACTTTATTTTCGAAGTAAGGATTTTCATCAAAATAAAAATCTATTCTGTAACCTGATTTAATATCTTCAAATTCTGTCACTTCAACTCTTGTCAAATAATGCAGCGCCTCTTCATCCTCTTCCCCAAGCAGTGCAGACACTTGTGGATGGTTGACAAATGTTGTTACCCAAAAATTTGGGATTTTTGGCGATCAATTCTGACCTCTTCTGAAAAAATGGTTGGCGGAGTTTGTTATATTTCTGTTCTACTTTCAAAATCTCCTCACTGGCTTGTTCATTAAGTCTGTCTATTTCATTTTGTACTTCATCAATATGTTCAATCGCTTCTTGCTGTTCTTTTTCTCCCTTCAGCACATCCGGAGGGGCCGGCTTCTTCTCCGGCTTGGGGGCTGCAGGCACTTTGGGTTTCTTCGCCTGCAGCGGGAGCAAGGACTGGCGTTTGGGGGCCATGCCGCGGGAGATCCCAGGAGCCGATCGCAGGGAAGTGGCGGGGCTGGAAGGCGCGCGGAGACTCCCATTCCCTTTCTATGTCCCTGATTCTATTATAATCACCAGTTCATTCTGTACATTTCAAAATGCTGACACGCTGAGCTCAAAAGTTTCGAAATCACTGCTCTAGGGTATCTTCTAGTAGCCCAAATAAACTGACACATTAAAGCACCCATAATTTCTTGTGTGGATGGTTGCAGTGGCTTTCCAGCTGCATGTCCTGCTTTACCTTACAATTGTCACCTTACAATTCATTCTCTATCCTCTAGTTAGTGTGACCTTCCTTAGTTATTTATATTTTCTTTTATTGAGGTGAAATTCATATATCCTAAAACTAGCCATTTCAAAGAGGTTGCTCAGTGGCATTTAATACATTGTCAATATTGTGCAACTCTATCTAGTTTCAAGACATTTTCAATGCCCCAAAGGAAACCCTATAGCTATTAAGGAGTTACTACCCATTCCCCAATCTTCCAAGCCCCGGGCAACCACTAGTCTTCATTCTTGCTCTATAAAATTACCTGTTCTGAATATTTCATAAATTGGAAATATGCAATGTGTGGTCTTTGTTCACTGAGTATAATGTTTTCAAGGCTCATCCACATCATAGTGAGTGTCAGTGCTTTGATCCTCTGTTATGGCTGAATAGTATTCCATTGTGTGGAAGAACCACATTAGTGTATCCATTCATTTGTTGATGTGCATTAAGTTGTTTCCATCTCTTGGCTACTGTGCATCATGCTGCTGTGATCCTGCATGCACGTATATTTGTCACGGCACCAGGTTTCAATTCTTTGGGGTACATAACTAGAACTGAAATGGCCTGCATTAGACTTTTTAACATTTAAGGCAGCTTTCATCTCCCCCCTGTTTAAATATTTCAGTGGCCCTTCCGGCATGGCTCAGTGGCTGAGTGTCGACCTATGAAACAGGTCATGGTTCGATTCTTGGTCAAGTTCACATGTCCGGATTGCAAGCTCAATCCCCAGTGGGGCATGCTGGTGGCAGGCGGTCAATGATGCTCTCTCATTATTGATATTTTTATCCCTCTCTCCCTCTATCTTTCTCTATGAAAACTATAAAAATATATTTACAAAATTAAAAAGTATATAAAATCTTTCAATGGCCTCCCATTGAGCTTATTAGCAAAAATAAGCAGGTCAAATCCGGTGAACCTCCTGCTTCTGTACAGCTACAGGAGCAGTTCTCAGGGATGGGACTTCAGTGAGCTGTAGAGACACAGCTGGGGGTTCTCCTCTGCCCCTAAACCCCACTCTGCCTCCTTGACCAGCAGCCCAAACCTGACCACTGTCCACGCTCTGTGATGGGCACACTGACCACCCCAACATGGAATGTCCTCTGTTGGTGACTGGAAGGCACTGAGTGGATGAATCTCATTCTGGGGGTGGGTGACTCAACATGTCGCCTTGCCTCTGGCCAGCTATCCAGATGAGAGAGCTGGGCCTGGAAGGGACAGGCTGGCTGAGAACTGGGGCAGAGACAGAAACTGGCCTTGGGGATCACCCCCACTCCTGCCCCTGCTTAGATTGCCAAGCCTCAGATTGATCACTCTTCATCCAGAGAATGTCTCCAGCAGTGGGCTGCAAGTCACGCCCATCACTCCAGTGGCCCATCCTAAGCAAATGGCGTGGCAGGGTGGAAGTGCCTTAATAATAGCTTTCATTTTATCTCTCACCCCTCAAAGCCTGAGATATTGACTATTTCACCCTTTAGAGAGAAAGCTTGCCATCCCATGAGCTTAGACACTAAGTGGGTGTCACTATCTTGAAGCCCTTGTACCCTTGATCACCCTGCAACAGGTATCTCAGGGCCTTTGCATGTACTGTTCCCTCTGCCTGAAACAGTCTTTTCCACTTCCTCCTTGTCATCTATGTCTTGACTCAAGAACCGCCCCCTTCACAGGAGACTTCCCTGACCAACTGCATTAGGCAGGGGTTTCTGTATCTAATTTATATCTATATTTAATCTGGGTCATCTATCTATTTGTATATGGGAAGACAGAGAAACAGAGGTTTATTTTAAGGAGTTGGCTCATGCAATTGTGTGGCTCAGCAAGTTTGAAATCTCCAGTGGGCTAGAGATTCAGTTGAGTTGATGCAGCCTTTATTCTGAAGGCTAGAATTTCTACACTGCTGATTTGAATCCCTTATTCCTCAGGAAACCCGGTTTATTTTTTTTCCTCTTCATCCCTTCAGTAAATTGGATGAGACTTGCCCACATTATCAAACATAAACTGCTTTGTCAAATATATATATATATATATATATATATATATATATATATATATATATATGGAGCCCAGAGCACGATTTGAAATCGCGAGGCTCCACCCACCCTCACGGAGGCCCCTGTCACCCTCCCCCAATGCTGCACGTGCAATATCCTGTCCGGCCAACCCGTCATAGCATCCCGGTTAATATATATATACTAATTAGTAATAATATATATATACTGCCTCCCACACGCCCTCTACTTGGAATTGAGCTGCATGTGCCCTGACTGGAATCAAGCTGTGACTTCCTGGTTTGAAGGTCAATGCCCAAGCACTGAGCCACACTGGCTGGGCTAAGGTCAACTGACAATAGATGTGAATCCGTTTTTAAAATACCTTCCTAGCTACATTTAGCTGGCGATTCACCAAACGGCTGGTCTCCGTGGCCTGGCTAAGTGCACACAGGACATGAACCACCCTCATGTAAAGGACCTTTACTGGTGGCCCCATCACAGCCAGGCCTTCTCACGTTGCCCTGCTCTCCTTTCCTCGCCGTCTGAAATCAACTCTCTGCTGTCTTCAGAATGTTCACAGCCTAGAACCATAGGTGCTCAAGCAACACCAAACCCCAGGTGTTAAAGAAATGAGGACAACGGGCCCAGGGCAGGAGAAAGGGGAAACAAGCAAGAAAAGAAACGAGAAGACGCACAGGCAGATGTCAGCTGGGACACCTAGTGAGTGATGAGGGTCCTTGAGTCTCCCCTCGATGGAAGTCTGTGGCAAGTGGGGGCTGGAGGAAGCAGGGGTGGGCTGTGAATGTGTTCCCCCACCATCCTGGAAGTGGGAGGTGGGGGTTTCTAGGAACAGGGGCTCTAGGGCCAAGTTGCTGTGCTGGGGTGACTTCCAGGCTGTAGGGTTTTTTCCATGACAACGGGATCCAGAATCCTGTGCTTTGATCCCAACCTCAACAGTCTTTAAGGATCTAAAGACTAGATGAGTCCTTTGGAGTCCCAGTTTCACTTTGCAACCAGTAGTTCCACTCAACCTGGTGGCTGTCATCCCCACCCCACCACCCCACTCAGTTCTGGTGATGCTGTGACTGCAACAGCCCCAGCACTGTCTCCTCAACTGCTGACCCATGCCTTCACCTCACTCACTCAGGCTCCTCCACCAGAAATATCACCCTGCCTGCCCCTTACCGCCCCCTCCTGGGCACAGCCTCCCCACTGGGTCCTTCAGAAGCATGGAGGAGCCTGCTCAGGCCCATCTAGAAAGTGGTGACTGGGAAGTGAGCCTAGAGGACAAAAGGGAATGCAGGTGAGAATGCCATTGGAGATAGTGAGCTGTGAATGAGGAGTATGAGAACAGGTACGGATGCAGGTGAAAATATAAGCAAAGATACGGGTATGTTTACGGACACACATGTAGGTGGGGGGCCAGGTGAGGATGCAAAAAAATGCAGGTGGATGTAGTTGAGGATGCAGGTAAGAGAGGAGGTAAAGATTCACATGAGAATGAGGGAAAAATTCAGGTGAGGGTGCAGTAAGAAGCAAGTAAGCAGGTAGGTGAGAACTCAGGTGAGTGGGCGGTGAGCTGCAGGTGAGAATGGTGAGGGCATAAGTGCACAGGTGAGAATGCAAATGAGATTCTTGGGGATTTCTAGTAAGAACTGAGCTGAGATGCAGGTGAGGCAGCTCGGGAACAGAGCTGTTGCTTTCCATCTCACAAAGACGTCCAGACTTTGGGAGATCACATGGAATACAACTGAAGCTTTATTGGGGGGGTTCTGGAGGGGGGTTCAGTTGGGACAGCCAAAGACGATCATGTTCTCTCTGAAGCTGGCCAGGTCCCTGCACAGCTTCTTGTTCTCATCGTCTTGGCATTCGTCTGCTTCAGGCCACAGCTCTACCCAGGTGTCCTTCCCGATGATGTACTTGATGCTGGGGAGGAGGGACACACGGCAGGTCAGGAGGGGTCCTGGAATGGTGGGTGGGGCGAGCACACACATGTGCAGGGTGGGCACTCACTTGGATTTCTCTCCCCACAGGTCTGAGGAGAGGCCCCATATGAGGTAGTGTTTCCCCTCCTGCATCTTCAGGGCTGCTCTGCACTTGACGTGGCTGATGAACCTGCGCTCCTGTTCAGGCTGCACCTCGTCAGTGCCTGGAGGGGAGAGAACGACGCTGAGCTGGGGTGAAGGAGGCAGGAGGAGGGAGGGGAAGGCGGAAAGAGAGAAAGCAGCCCAGGGCTGACCTGATTTGATGATCAGCTTGATGACCATTATGTACTCGTCAAAATCATCGGACAGCTCCTTCCTGAGCAGAAGGGTCTTGTACACTGCGGGGGATAGAGGGGGGCAAAAGGGGGGACAACGAGGGGCCAGCATGGGTCATGGGCAGGCTGGACAGCAAGGCAGCCTACCTGTAAGGGCACCTGGGCACATCACTTCCCAAGTAGCCACATGCAGCCACACAGGGTCATACAACCTCCATCTCACATAGTCACCCACAGCCATGTGCACAGTTACAGCCGCCCACAACTCATCCCATACACAAGGACAGTTACTCCTGTCCACTGTCACCCGCAACCACCATTTCTTACACACAGCCTCATATGGTCACAGTCACTCACAGCACCATCTCACACATAGTCACCTACAGCCTTGCACACAATTATAGCCACTCACAACTCATGGTATACACAGGGACAACTATGCCTATCCACTGTCACCATCTCACACAATCATGGCT